ACGCCGCAGAAGTGACTGGCATTTTGTTTGTGGTTCTCAAAGCTTCAAAAATTTGCATTTTAACTCAGCATCATGATCTGTCTAGTAACTGTTCAGTGTCTATAGAGCAGAACACGTTTCTCAATGAAAACTGTGACACTTGTGCAGGAGCCTTTTTATCTGAAGGCTGAAGGAAACTGTTGCTCTTGAGATTTAAAATTTGTTTATTTTTTTAACATGACAAACAAAATTGCTGTAGACAGGAGCACCTTTTTCCAGAAATATCACACTACATTTTGCCACAGTAACTCCATGCAGCAAAAGAAGTTTTATTTTATTGTCATTGTAACATATACAACAAAATTTTGTTTGGAGCCGAGGGCCCTGGGCTGCTGTGGGCATACGCGCCACTTGGGGGTTCAGTGTCTTGCCCAAGGACACTTTGACTGCAGGCGCCGAGATGTGAACCTTCAACCTCTTGGCTGGGAGACAATTGCTCTACCCACTGCACTGCTGTCGCCCCAAAACAAACTTTCAGTTCAATTCAATGTGTATATTTTTGTTGCACAGCTCTATAACGAAATGAGTCATCTCCAGTGGTAGAAACTTTACAGACAAGCAAACATTAAAACACTAAATAAATATTTAGAGCAAATAATATAAACAACAGAAGGTAATACACAAAATCAATAATGATTCCACACTTATTAAAAGTGTTATTGCAGGTAGTCAGTTTTGCACTTATTAAAGGGCAGTTGTTTAACTCTGATGGTACTTGAGTAGAAACATTTCCAGAGTCTGGAAGTACAAGCTTTTAGGAACCTATAGCATCTTCTGGAAGGTGAAAAGATGGTCTCTAATGATATCTGTGGCCCGTCTATAAATATCCTTTAATGATAGTAATTGAATGCTAGTGATTTGCTGTGCTGACCTTATGGCTTGTAGAGCCTTCCAGTCTGCTGCAGTGCAGTAAAGGAAACTTTGTCTTGAATGTGTAACAATTTGTTCCTGAAGATCTTTAGCTCACATAACTGATACCCACAAACTCTGGACCACCACCAACTGATCCTTCTATTTCAGGATAGGACAAATTCATACCGAATTG